ATGTACCTTTTTCACAATGTCTCCCTCAACCACACATCAGTATCCTCATTTATTTATTTTGTTTTAAATCCAATCACTAACAAGGAAGAGGATAAATATGCTTGTGTACGCTTCTTGTGGAAAATATTTCAAACACACACATGGTTACATATGACTTTCAACAACATAGTCCTTCAAAGTTTAATTGTCCTATTATTAAACTTTCTTTCTTGTTTGAGTGCACAGCTCTACTTAAATTCCAAAGTCCAGTACCTGCATATGCTTTCCCTCATTTTCTTTACAGCTCCCAGATGGTGTGGAACAAATAATTGTGCTACTTAGAGCTTCAGAATTTGAAGCCAGGTGACTTTAAATGTAGGTGCAGCATTTTGTCTCCCATTCATCACTAGCTACAGTTAGTAGCCAAGTTGATTAAAAAGGAAGTTTAGCAGACAGCTTTCCCTTTTCATTGTTCCAGGGATTACTTGAGTCATTGTTGAAGTAACTTATTCAATTGATTAAAATTTAATTTTTTTAAAGCTACATTTTATGTTATTGAAAAAACCCTTTTTCCTATTTTTTTAAAATTTATGATCATTCAGTTATAATCCCATCAAAACCAAAAGTGGATAGAGTTTAGCCTACTGTGCCTAACTGTCATTATAAATTACTTGATGTGGGGTTTGCACAGGTCTTCTGTATTAGATTTAATAATAATGAAAAATAAGTCTTGTATCATAGCTCTCCTGCCGGAAGATTCCAAAATGCTTTTCAAACAATGGCCCCAGTCCTTCCATTGACAGCAAGTGGGCACAGCAGACAGCTGGATCGGTGCCCATGGCACTGATTCTACAATCAGAACCTGTATTTGTACAAAGCCTCCTAGGTCTGTGCATGGGCACGGGGATCCTTAGGAAGATCAAGGTATGAATGTACTGAAAAGTAGCCGTTACAGGAGAAGAATGTAGCAGACATTTGGCACCAATGTTCTTACTCAGCAATTTTTAGAAGAGGGACTGGGCCGTTTTGTTCATTGGATACAGTAATATTTGTCATGCTGACTGTGGCATTAAACAAAATCAGGAGAACTAGGAGAAGAGTACAAAATAGATTGAAAACAGTTTTTTTCAGTTCCTCAACAAACAAAGTATTTAAGGTTGCAAATAAGTATCAAGGTTTTTTTCCCCTTACATCAGTGAAAGAATATTGTCAGCCAGATTTTTAATGTTCACCACTCAGCAGCTCCCTTTCTCAGATTTAGGAAAATCTGGCAGCTTTGTTTGGGTGACTAGATGAGACCTGAGCACTTTTGAATATCTGGTCCCGTCTCTTTAAACACACGCAAATACAGAGACCAGAAATGTAAAGTTGAGTTTATATTTTAAATATTTGTTTTGAATGTATGTAAAGTCAAGGTTGTACAAATAGCTATAACTCTTGCCTGTACCCTTCTACCCCTACCCACTCACCACCAAATTTATCAGATAACATTATACTGGCACCCACTCAGTTAAAGTTGTGCATATAACGCGACCTTCCCTTGTACACAGAACAACACGAAACACTCTTTTAACATGGGTAATTGTGCAGCTTTTAGTATTTTAATTATTATTTATGGGAAAGTTTGTCAACTCCTCTCTATTTTCTCTTCAGAATAGGTAAAGATCATAGATTATATGGAGAAAAGAAGTAATCAGTCTCCTGACTGAAATACCGGTTTAGGTATTTAGGGTATGGGTGTTTCTCTTCCTGGCTATAATATAGACTTCATGTGTACCCTAATGTTCAAATATGACTGTTGGATATCTAAATTCATAGTCAGACCTCCAACTTTGAACATTATGTCCTTAATCTCTATTTCCTATCTAAACAATGAGATTAATAAAAGGTGTTGGTCTCACAGGGGTTAGTGAGATTAAATTCATTTCTATAATGTGGTTTGATTTTATCAAATAGAACCTGCAATGGAAGAAATATATTATTTTATTTATTGCCCATGAGTATGAAATATTCTGCGGTCTGTGACTTTATTTGCAGAATGAGAAGGCTCAAAGAAGACAGTTAGTTGCATGTGGGTACTAGAGTCCTGGAACTATATTGAAGGAGAAAATAAGATAGGTTTAAGGCTGTTTCTAATCTCTGGAGAGGATAGGCTGGTACTTGAATCTCTTAGGGTATGTCTAGACTACAGAGTTTTGTTGGAAAAATGGCTATTTTTCCGACAAAACTTGAGTTACATCCACACCGCAAGCATGCTCTTTTGCAAGTAAATTGAAAGCACAGAAGGCTTTTTCAGCAATTGGGAATCAGAACTCCTGCGTTAAAGAGTATTTGCGCAAGATCGCGCCAATGTAGACACAGCCTGAGAGTGTATAATGGCCAGGGATAGCAAGTGATGGAGAGGAAGGGAACAGAGAGGGTGAGGCCTCAAGGAAGGCGTAGAGTCTTAGAGACGGGGTAGATCTTGGCTTGTCTTGACATTTTAAAAGTGATCTTGTGTGTAAAAAGGTTGGAGACCACTGATCTAGACCATCCCTGATAGATGTCTCGCTACCCTGATCTTAAATATCTCCAGAGAAGGAGATTCCACAGCCTCCCTTGGCAACTTATTCCAGTGTTTAACCAGTCTGACAGGAAGTTTTTCCTAATGTTCACCTAAACCTCCCTTGCTGCAGTTTAAGCCCATTGCTTCTTCTCCTATCCTCAGAGGCTAAGGAGAACAATTTTTCTCCCTCCTCATGACATCCTTTTAGATACCTGAAAACTGCTATCATGTCCCCTCTGTCTTCTCCTTTCCAAACTAAACAAGTCCAATTCTTTCAGTCTTCTTTCATAGGCCATGTTCTCTAGACCGTTAATCATTCTTGTTGCTCTTCTCTGGACCTCCTCCAATTTCTCCACATTTTTCTTGAACTGGACACAATACTCCAGTTGAGGCCTAATCAGCACAGAGTAAAGCAGAAGAATATGAAAAGAAAGCTATGGACATGTAAGAGTTATAAATGGCATTGGTAATCATGAGAAAATGATAGCTATGCAGCTAGCATCCTAGATTCCCTAACCTATTGATGAAGTGGGTCTTTGCCCACGAAAGCTTATGCTCCAACACTTCAGTTAGTCTATATGGTGCCACAGGACTCCCCGCCACTTTTGCAGATTCAAACTAACAGGGCTACCCTTATGAGAGGGGTAGCCGTGTTAGTCTGAATCTGCAAAAGCGGCGAGGAGCCCTGTGGCACCTTATACACTAACTGAAGTGTTGGAGCATAAGCTTTCGTGGGCAAAGACCCACTTCGTCAGATGCATGTAGTGGAAATTTCCAGAGGCAGGTATAAACATGCAGGCCAGAATCAGGCTAGAGATGATGAGGTGGATCCAATCAGGGAGGATGAGGCCCTCTTCTAGTAGCTGATCTGGAGGTGCTACCCTTCTGATACCTATCCTACAATGTGGATTGTGCCATAAACAGTCATCTAACATCACACATCTCCTAATATCACACAGATTTTGGTGCCTGTCTGTGAATGCCTCTCTGTAGGAGACAGGTGAACATAGAAAAGTTCAGCTACCACCATATGCCCACTAGTGATCACCTTATCTACAGTGATTTAACCTGCCACATACATAAACATATGAGCATCCCACTGGTATCCCCTCCTTATTAATTTATCTCCTCCCTGCCTGAGCACATACAGGTATATATACTCTCCTGGGTCTGACATCACTTCATTCATACCTCAGTTACAGAACAATCTAGAGATGCAGTTCATTTGAACTAGAAAAGTAGGGGGTAGATCTCCCCCCCCACACACACACACACTTCTTTAGCCCTTTTAAAATATTTTACAAGAAATTAAACATTTTGTTCAGACACTAACTCTTGACTTAAATCTCAGTCCCTACTTGTTTATTGAGAGATCGCTTCAGCTGACTCATATTTCAGTGTTTCCGGTTAATTTACTGAACATCCTTATAGTCTCTCTCTACAGGAGAGTCCTATCCCCCTTTTCAGATCTTAATGGTGCAGTCCATTTTGACATTCAGCTACAGAACCTGTCTGCTTCATCAACTGCAGAGGGAGAGCTGTCTCCTGGGTCCCCAAGACCACCAAATGCATCACAGGTTGCACTCATCTATCAACCAAAGAACTATATGAATTCATCTTCTAAGGATGCTGTCAGGTCATATTCAACCCGATATTTAGGTTTGAGAAATGAAAGCTTTATCAGAATCCTAAAAGCAATCAAAATATTCCCACGATATAAAAAGTTTCAAAAAAGATTGAGTGTCTGTCTGTGTGGATGGGTGGGGGGAGGGGGGGTCACAGACTCCCAGGGTCTGTTGACCATAGCTTGAAAACCACTGCATTAGAGGCAAACATTCCCAAGCACTGTTCCCAATCTATGCCTAAAATTTCAAAAGCATTTCGCACCTCCATTCAAATTTGTTTAGGAAAAAAAAACCGTTGAAAACTATCCTTGTGTGGGAACATGACCTTGGAGCATGAAAATGAGTAATGAATGGCAAACGTAAAAGTGACTAGTATCAGGGCTTAAACTTTTGTGAATAAAGAAAAATAAAGTGGCGTTTATAAAATAATTCAGAAAGTTTGGCAGTTTAATCTGACAGCATTTATTTAAAGTGTTGAGTTTTCTGGCCAGTCATGTAAGTGCAGGGGTTGCCAGAACAGAATCAGACTGAGGAACGATTATTTCCAAAGTTAATTGAAGGGAATTATTCAAGTTAGTAGCAGTGGGGAAGGGAAAGGAAGAGAATTTGGGACAATTGATCTAATTCTGTCCCCTTTGGCTGCTTCCCCCATTTCCTATAACAAAGAAATTCAGTCTTGGAGCAAATGTGCTGTCTGTTTTGTTCTGATTTAAGCAGCGCTGCCTGTATCCTGGACTGTTTTTACTACCATAACGTGAAAATCGTGGCCGTGATGGGTAAGGTTTTCAATGCTAGGAGCTTCAGCGTCGGTGCTGGGAGCTTGAGCAGCGTGTCTCATTCAAAGCTAAAAGGGTGTGCCAAAAAAGCTACTGCTCAAGGGTGATTCCTTCGCAGCCTCTAGCTATCGCATTCTCCAGTTTTTGCTTCAGTCGCGTTCTAAACGGTGGCGGATTTTCGAGCCCGGGGGCTACTCTTGCGCTTGCGGGAGGAGGTATATGCATGTCACCACCACCAAGCAGAGGCTGAGCTGCACGCAGACGGGCACTAAGACCGCAACGCCTCCATTTCCTCTCAGGGTGGATGCAGAAGCTGAGAGGAGGAGACCTCCAGACACGGGTGGAGAAGGATAGGAAGAGGAGAAAAGCAATGCGAAATCAAGGATATAGCTGAGAGAGAGAGAAAGAGAGGGGGAGAGAGAAAGGGGCGACTGAAGGGAAGACGCGGGGGGAAAGATCTGTAGATAATCTATTTATATTTAGACATAGGAAGGCATCCCCTAGAAGATTGGTCCAATGAACATGTCAGTGTTGACTTTGCAAGAATACGAATTTGAAAAGCAATTCAACGAGAATGAAGCCATCCAGTGGATGCAAGAGAATTGGTAGGTGATGGTTAATGTAGTATTTACCAGTAGCTGTCTCTCTCTGAGCATGTGTGTTTCATATCTATAGATGGATTAGTCATAATTGACTCCAGGGTAATCGCTGATCCAGTGTCTGTATTTTACTGGCTCTGATAAGGTGCAGTGGTGTGTGTAGGTATGTGTATATAAACATACATACCAATATATGCATATATGAATAAGCGTGTGCAAATGCACATTAGTGTGTGTGCATTATTCCAGTGACATAACAAACCACACAAGCAAAGGTCAAGGATGCTAAGATTGAGAGACTACGGTTTTTTGTCTAATTTAAAAAAAACTTATATAACACTGGCATCTCACTAATAAAAGCATTTTTATAATGAAAGAAAACGATTCCCTGCGATCTCCTTCCATTGTACTTTTGTTCTTCTTTCCTCATTCTCGTTCGCTCTCGTACTTCTGCCTTTTCCATCTCCCTTTTGTCCTTCTTTTCTCCTTGTAACTCCTTTTTGTACGTGTGCCCCATTTCCTCTTTCTTCAGGGTCTCTTACCCCCTCCCTCCCTTTCCACTCCAGCTCGTTACCTCCCTGCCACTGTAATGATGCAGAAGGACGAGTTAAAAAGAAAACACATGTCACTGTGGAGTCCCCGGCTTGAAATAAAAACTTAAAACTGCAGCCATGCGCCTATTAACTTTGTTATGCGTGTCTGTGGCAGGGGGAGCAATTCAGTGACCTGGATTTACTAGTGCCAAGAAAAGGCGGAAAGTTAAAGTGCGTAGGGGCAGGCGGGGAAGTGGGAAGGCGCGCAGGAAAAGTTCTCATGCTGGGCACATCATGTCTGCGATGGGTGCCTGACAATCCAGGCGCCGGGGGGAGGGGGGTTTCAGCCAGAGCGAGCATGGAGTCGCCCGGCAGCGTGTGCAGAGGGCATGTGGATTCGGCGGGGGGGATGCGTGCGAGCAAATCAACCATGGCTCCTGTCGGGGGGGAGGGTCGGTTCCAGAAAAAAAAAAAAAAAAAGCGCCTGTAGTGAGGTCTGCCCAGACACCGGCTGGCGGCATTCCCAGCGCGAGAGCTCGCCGGCCAGACGGGCTCGCTCTTTCACCAAGCCCTTGTCTCTCATTGATCAGACGGGGGCTGGGCGGGGGCGCTGCCGGGTCTCGGGGGCTGGGACTGTAGCGGAGGGGGCTCCCCCCCCCGCTGCCCGGCAGATGATGGGCGGGCTGGCGGGGCTCGCCGGCCTGCCGCCGCCCGGCACTGCAGAGCCGCCATCCTCCGGGCACTCGGGCACACACAGCACGTGCGCCTCTCTCCACTTCGCTCGCTCGCCGCCCTTTCGAACCTGCCACTCCTCCCCCTTCCGCTCCCTCCCCGGCTGGGCCGGCCGCCGCTGGGGCACCTCATCGCCCCCTTCGCTGCGGCAGCCGGCTCTCCGCTTCCTCCCCCCCGGGGGGCCTAGGCTGGGGGGGGGGCCTGCACTGGGGCGGGGGGCGTTCCCAGTCGTGGCAGCCGCGGGAGGGATGGGGGGCAGCGGTAGCAGCAGCTTCGGAGGGGGAGGCTTGACAAAAATAATTGATTACGCCATCGCAGTCCCCGACATGGCAGAGGTGCCAGCTCCAAACTTAAAAACCGTATTTTAGGAAACACCCTCTCCCCTCCCCCAAGAACGAGATTGTCTTAAATATCATGAGACTTTAATAATAAATGTCTGGGGTCTTGCCCTGTGCCCTCTGGTTTCATCCACCTTTGGGCTTCAGGCAGGCAGGTCGAGCATTTTAAGTTTTTCTCTGCCACCAAGAGAGCTAGAAACTGCCTTTGTGCTGGAAATGAAAGCCAAGAGTCTCACCTCCTCCCATGCTTCTTGAAGCTGGGGCTTCAGCTATCACAAAAGGCATCCTGAAATCAACAGGTGAAGAGCAGAAGCCCCCAGTGCAAGGCTCAGCGCCTCCCACCACCTCCTCTGCTGCTGTGGTTTGCTTGGGTGTGAAAAGCAAATGCCTCACTAGCTTTCCCCAGGTGCTGCATTTCCTCTTGGTTACCTTTCCCTTGTTCTGCACCTCCCTCCCCTGTGCCCTTTACTCCATTGGCTTCTCTTGCTTCTTTCCCTTTTTATTCCTTGCCAGGGTGACTGTTACTTCTCCTGCCCTCTTATTCCATCCTGTGTCCCCAACATCCTCTCCCTCAGTGAACCTGCCTCACCCCACATGTTGTGCTCTTCTTTTCCCCCCCTTCCCAGTGAGACGCTGTGTCCTTTAGCCATCTCCCTTCTGGGCTCTCACCTGAACCCACATCCTGCGCTTCCTATTCCTTCAGCCCTTCCTGCTTCTGACCTCTCCGATTCTGTAGTTCTCACCACACCTTCTCCCCCTTTCACTGCAATGCCTCAGCTTCCTGTGTCTCCCATCCCTTATCCTCTGCATCTGTCTCCAGTGCACACCATGCTCTTCGATCTTCACCCTCTGCATTCTCCTCTTGCTTTAGCCTATGCTTCCCCTTCTTTTCCCCTCCCTTTGCACCTTACGCTTTGTTTTGCTGCACTCTGCCCCCAAACCTCTCATTTCTTTGCATCTGTGCTGCATCCTTTCCGTCATACCTTCTGTCCTATCCCTTCACTCCTTTACCACACACTGACCTCACATCCCTTGCCATCTCACTTCTCATCCTGCTACCCTAACGCTCCACACAGTACCTTCTCTCTTTCACTGGTGGTGATAGATTTGGGACAGGAGCCAGCTGCAAGCTGAGGCTGCACATCCTGGGTTTGCTAGGCCGGATGATCCGAGGCCTTTGCTGGGGTACCAGGGATGCTTCTGGGATGGTGCAGTGGCCCATGTAGTTTCTAGAACAATAATGAATTTAAATGACCATTAAATGCTTTGACTTCTCTGTTCACCTGCAGGAGAGATGGTTACGGATATTAGCTCCTGACGGGTACCCATTGAGGCATACTGTTCAGACTGATTTTTTTGCCTTTGTTTGGTTTTATTTTCATAGCTCTTAACAATCTTATGAGGCTTATTAGGTCGTCTTTTGTTCTCTATCTGTGGAGAAACTTACCTTCATCATGATGTAATATTTCAGTAAAGGAGTAGAGGCAGGGACAGTCAATAGATGGATTGCAGGCCAAATCCATCCATCCTGATGCTTTTCAACAGAGTGCAAAATCTTTATTTACTTATTATTGTTATATTTGTCTATTATTTTCTCTATAATCTAGAGGCATTGACTATTCCTTGACCAAGAAATTTGGACCTTGACAAAAATAATTGATTACCCCTGTGTGGCAGAGATTGTTGCCTCAGTACTTTCATGAGCCTATCAGAGAAGCTGTGGCCTACTGAATTAAGTATTCAATTGGAAGTCAGGTTCCTGTGGTTTTTTCTCAGCCCTGCTACACTTCATTATGTGACCATCACTTTGAGGCAGTTGCAGCGCTGCTGTGTGCCTCAGTTTCCCCAGTTGTAACATGAGATTGATATAATTTGCATAACTACCTGTTAGGGTGCTTTGAAGATTAATTAATTGATGTTTGTAGATTGCTTTGACGATGTAAAGTGTTGTATAAGTGCTAGATAGTATTATTAAAACCCCTTTACATGCATCTATTTACTGCAAAGGTTTGCCTGCTGCGATTCTAATAATATTAATTTTTGACTCCCTAGATTCAAGAGAGAACAAATATTTTCATGCTATTACTTTACAGCTGAAGAGATTCGGTCCTCTGTGTGTGAACTCAATCTAATATCCTCTGTTTTAAGGGCACTGATGAATTAAGACCTTCCGTTCATATTAAACTGTAGGAAAGGAGAGATTTGCTCAGGTTTGAGAACATTATTGAAAATGAAATGGAGTCCTGTCCATTGAGATGCTTTTTGCCTTGTGAATGTTCCCTTGGAAATGCTAGTAAAACTTAGTAGTTAAAGTAGATGATAAACTTGTTCAGGAAATTCACCTCCCTAACAAAACAATCATGTTTTCAGTGTTTTAATTTTTAAGAGAATTTATGTGGCAAAATTCAGTAAGTAAAGAGCATGAAGATCTCCTATCACAGTGTCATCAGTGGGATTTCTATATGCAGATAAAGGATAGTAAATGACTGATTGACATTGACATAGGTTTGATATGAAGTTGTCTGGACCAGTGTTATTAACATAAGGGGCCTAATATAGATACATTAAAGAATATGTTTCAGGGATAAATGTTTGGTTGTGTATCAAATGCAAATATTAGTGGAATAAACAAAATCATTTAAAAAAAAAGAAGACATTCCACTGGTAAGAGGTTTTATACTAGGGGTTGCACTAGTCCTGTAAGTTACAATACATCAATCAACATGGAGGTAGAAAGTAGACCAAAAAGGTTTGACATTTATTATTTCAGTTCCTCGTTAAAAATGCATCTTGATATTTTACTGTCTTTTAAATGACTATTCTGAATGGATAGGGTGAAATGGACCTAGGGAATTTAATGTGTTTGCATTTTGGGAGCATGTTTTGAATCCAAATAGTTCATACAGGGTTTTTTTTTTCCATACAAAGATTCAGCATAGAAGTTGATGTCAACAGGAGAGTATGGCAAAAGTGGCGTTATACCCTTTTATCGCCTTCTGGATTCTGGACAACTCTAGTAATGTCTCTCCTAATTACAAAGGCCCAATCTGGGCTGCTCATGCCTGTGATGCTGTCCAGAATCCTCATAGCACTGTTGGTATCACACTCCAACTCTGCCCCTAGAAAGTTGCCTACACTGTAACTTTTGGCAGAGACTGGGAACTAGGCACCTGTAGGAGTTTGAAAATGTCCCCCCTTGGAAACTAAAAGAAAAGGAATTCCACTGATGTATGTCAGTGGTAAATCAGGCCTTCCTTGGTTTAACTCCAGATGTTCTTATTTTACTTTGTGAAGGCCCTCCTCCTGCAATGAGGCTGGGGATAGAGTGCTGTGCAGATGCAGTCCTGTTGAATTCTGGGTCTAAATTGTCAATGTTGTAAATAGAGTAATGCAGGCAAAATGA